CTGTACATTTCTGATTGGTTGTTAGGATGCAAGGTCTCTCGCATACAATGAAAAGCGTGATCACTTGACCGGTAAAATTTACAAATGACCGGTATTTGAAATGCTAGCCAGTCACAATGTCCAGCTGTAAAAACTGCCAGCAGAAACACTGTATATTCCACCAGTATTACAGAAGGGGATACCATTGGGCATTACACTTTGTCACCAGGTTGGGAATCGAACCCGGGTCTTTGGCGTGATGATCCAACGCTTTTACCACTAGGCTAGACCACCGCCCCATGACTTTGTGCAACTTGCACATGAGGATAAAACCAAGCTAAACAATCATATTTACTGTTTGGAGAGTCTGAGTTTCCCTTTAGTCTCCTTTCTTTCTACATGTTCAACACAAAGCTTCAAGTGATGGCATATGGATCAAGTCTGATTTTCAAACAATTAACACAAATGTCACATGAAATTGTTTTTCACCTGAGGGATGAATGAATTGCAAATACTTGTGGTTCAGGTAACATGTTCATAATAGAAAAGGATCACTAACAAGCATGATTTTTATTTGAAATATTGTAATGAGGTTTCTTGATGAACATAGTCATTGAAAATATGTGACAAGAAATGTCAGGAATGAATTAAGCAGATCTTTATCAAGAATGGTTTAATTCATGCCTGGAAACAGAGAGAGCAATGTCATTTATTACTAAACCTTAGAGTTGAGATCAAGCCTTTTTCAAAAGAGTGTATATAAAGCGAAGCAGTGCATGTATATACACCTGACAGTCTGACAAGACAATAAACTGGATTTGCCAGAGGCCTTTGTCAAAGCAATTGTTCAAAAATCTGAAAATGATTCAAATGTAATAGAAACAAATACACCATAAAATAATATCAGTGTCACAATCTGAACTTTATAACTTAATAGCAGCCATTAACACTGATTGAAACAATGGAAAAAAACAGTCTTGATCAAGAGCAATAAACCCACAATAGAGGGTAACTTCAGATAAGATTCCCCTAAACTGTGCACACCCAGCTGTTGAACCTGAGGGACACTTCTCCATTTCAGCCTCAGGGTGTCATGAATCATTGGCCAGCACTTGAAAAACAAACTACCATATCTTAAGGTAGGCCACGCTGGGTTTTATCGACCACCGCTAATACAAATAACAGATCCTGAAGTAAACCCTATTTCCTGTTCAGCAGCTGAGCTTGCCACTATAGAGTTATTGCCTTAATCGTGACCTCTTTATCAAGATATAATTCCAGGTAATAATACCAAACAATTTGCTGGATGTGTTGCAATAACGATATACAGATAGCAGCCCATATAGTTAGTGTCTAAACAATTAGGATGAAGGAAAAAGGTTCTTATAATCTGTTCATGTAGTCATAAAACTAATGGTTGAAAATAAGGATACAAAAATTTCATGATGGTTCAGGCAGACCATATATCCAAACATCAAAGCAGCTCCTTATATTTGTTCATTCTATTTATTCAGAATTACAAGTCCCATCAAACTCACAAGTAACCAAGAAATCAAGAGTCTTAGTAACTGAGAAAAAACAACACCCATTCACACTAAGAAAACAATGACAATTTCATATCTGTCAATTACCCAAATATCCATTATTCAGTCCAGGCCAATTCTCAGAATAATTTTTATCAATGAAAACAGGAAGCCTTTTGACAGTGATTATTCAACCGTATCTTCATGGTAATAGCCTTATTTTGTTAGTTGATAATGGTTTATTATCAAATTTGGTATGCCACTTGCATTAATTATTTCTCAAAGGACGTCATGCTTACATAGTCAACAAGCATTACATTCTTTAAATGACACTTCAGGTCTGACACCCCAAAACAATTAATTGATCAATACCTACCTGGACAAACATTAATTAAGTCTCATCATGACACTGTTATGTGTTAACACATGGAGAATTCAGCTACAATTTCTCAACATATTTAGAAACATGACTATATAGGATATCAGTAAGTAATTTATAAATACATGCACCATAGTTCAATAATCACTCCCACAATCGCAACAACTGATTGATTTTCACCTGTAGAAAGATCAATACCAGGACCTAATAGTGTTAAAACAACAATAGATGTGTTTTCTAGGTAGATAGATCACAGGTGGGACAGCAATATCCTCTATTGACTGTACAACAGTTGTATTAACAAAAATGTAACATGTTGCAAATGTAGGTTGCAAGAACGTCACACAAGCATGTCAGGTAAATTCAACTCATTACAGGTAGAGTAGAAAGTCAGATGAAGCACAGCTTGTGCAGCAAGACATTCAGACGGCGATCAATCTCATGTGACAAACAATCTCTCTTTTCTCCTGAGGTAATACAAAGTAGTACTTCATATGAATGTTGCTTTCGGCAATGTCAGACATACGATGAATGAATCATTCATAAAAACAATGATTTTAATGTTAAACCAAAACTGTAGAAAATTATAACCTCATTTGATAATAAAAAAAAAAAAAATCAAATAAAGAGTAATTGAAATGAAATCATTTAACAGCATAAACACTTTTTAACATAAGCTTCAGGATTTAGTTATTAGTTAACAATACTGATTACAAATGTTGCTTATTAATAATTTAAGACCATTGTTTGACATATGATATAACGATTTCACTGATTAACTATTGTGATACCTTAATCATTTGTTAAGACTAAGTCCATCTTGGGGCAAGGAAATATGGTATTGTCACCTGACCTGCCATGGTGTATAACAATACCCGAGGTCACAAGGGGTCCACAGTGTATGTGTCATGTAATAGGATTGATTCATTTCAAAACGGGAAATAAATATCAAAGAATCCTTATGAAATATGGATCAGGTCTCTGCTGTAAATAGAGAAATGTTCACATGGCATTATGCTAAGTTTAAATATGAATAATAATGATAATTTGAGACCCTTTAACTATAGATGACTTATAACGTGATATGTCTTAGCTCTGTCAGTGTGAGAGATTCTCAGTGTTCTAATGGTCACTGGAATGAGCCTTAAAAAGGCGAACAATTTGATCAATTTTGAACTTAATATTGAACATTAAAACATTTTCTTTAAAACGTTACTGCAGTACTAGGAAAATACCAGCTGAAAATTAAGCATGTAACAACTACTATATCAAAGGCATTATTGTAGATATACGAGCAAAGCAATAACCCGTAAATATTTAGCCTAAATTGTACAACACACATCATCTGTGAAGTGTTATCATGTTATCACAGCTGATATGGTACACAAGTAAATGCTTATTCAACAGCCCTGTACTTGCAATGACTAAATTAGCAAAGGCAGCCCCAATAAACAAACATTATCTTAATTAGCTCTTTCAGGCTCAGGACTCCAATTGATTCTGTAAACTGCTACCTAAACAGGTAACAGCTTGACCAAATACATTAGGAGAGAGCTGTGTCTTGTCCAGTCTGTTATGGTAAGCTTGTCTGATATAATATACGTGGTGCACGAGATCTCAATCTAGTTGATAACACTTTATCATTATTTCAGCATGGAATATTTTTTCATTCTTTTTTGTGTTATACAAATGTTAGACAGATTACTAATAAAGAAAGTCTCTTGAATTTCATAACTTTACTTCATCACTCACAAAAACAAAGTATATGCAAAGAATATTTTTAAATCAGTACTAAGTATTATACACTATTAAGTATATATAAAACATGATAACAACACAACCAAGTACCTATTTATCTTTGTGAAACCAGAACAATTTCACAACATCACACTTTTACCACTTTTTAGCATTCAGATATAATAATGGAAACTGTATTTTGGCCAGTGTTATAGTTTACATTGAAAATAACTTATATATCCCATTTCAAATGTCATTGAGATTTTTGTATGTTTTCCATCAATATTTACACAACAAATCCCTTTGTTCTGTACCAATTCCATGTATTCAGTGGCACCTACATATTCACTACACAGCAGCAGCAAAAACAGCATGGACTATGTCCACATGCCTGCAGTGTCCAACTGTCTCTCAATATGATAGAGAGCAGCAAGCCTTCATTCATTCCACTGGAGTTGAGGAAGCAAATATTTATATTTCATGGTATTTCCGAGCTGAGCAAGAGACAAGCCTGTTGATTTTGGTTGGAGAGTAGCATTCACTCCTTGGGAGGGGACACCTCATGTGTGTGGGGGCTTGTGAACTACACACAATAATGTATGGGGCAGAGGGCTTGTACTGCCATGAGGGTGCACTCAATGACCATCATTTTGTTTGGTAGATATCATTGTTTTGCTTCATTTTTATAACATGTCCTAAATTAAGTCCAATGGTCAGGCTGCACTGACTTTGGCAGGAATTCTGCCAAATCTTAAACATGTCATATTTGAAACTTTGTGGGCAAAATGTGGGTCAGATCCAATACTTTGTATAATAAATGAACAAATTAATTCATAATTATTTTTCAGTATAACTAACAACATGATTTGTGTTGTGATACTGAAAAAATATGGCAATGCATAACATGAAGTCAGGAAGAGTTTCTACAAGGTAGTCAATAACAGTGTTATTCCCCTCATATATCTTACATATGTAGGCTATATTCCTTAGATTGCACAATCAAACGTTACACTGTACAAGATAATGGGATATCTGCACGGGAGCATCTGGTCTGAATACTGAATGTTAACATACTAACATATGGTTTACACTTTGTTACAGCTTTTATTGACATGTTGGTTAAGCTGATAAACCCACTAGACAATATATTCCCAATAACTTCACATAATTCCTTGTTGCTGTAGCAAGAACCAAATATGTCTAAGATTTGCTACCTAGTACACGGGTGCATGAATACTGAATCTACGAACTTTCGCGGGTGAATTCAATACTGATAACAGGCACACAATCAACTGAAAGTCAATTCAAAATCGAGTTCCTCTTTGAAGTGAAATCAAGCGTGGTCTTCGATCAGCTTTTGGGGAATAAAAAGAAAAACTCACGTATTTTCACTTTCCTAGAATCCAATTTGTAGACATGATCCTTCACTCGGGACAACTTTTCCGTAATTCTGTCAGTTTTCTCGAAAACTTTTTGACACTCTTCGGCCAAATCACAAAATAGATCGTCTGCGTGTCGCACGAGACTCGCGAGCTGGTATAAGGCTCCGAGCACAGTGTTATGGGAAACTGCGAGTTGGATCGAGACGGGATCCTCATTTTGTTCAGGTCGTAACGCTTTCCTCCCCAACTTTTGAGGTTCGACAATCCTGTTAGGCAGCGGCATGACATCAGTTATCTCCAAATTTCTCCAACATTTCGTAAATCCATTTCAGGCCAACACCTGGCCCGTCCGTGTTTCAAACTGTCGCCATGATATCGGCACACGTAGCTGTTCCGTTAGCCGTGTCACCTCCCTTGTAGTGTATAAGGGGGCGTGGCATAACGCAGGTAGGCTTAGCCTGAATAAGATACGTGACGTGTGCACTCCTTTGTTGTCACTGAGAGGGACGTAACTCAAGTGAGGCGAAAATCTCATACAGGTAGCAATCAACAATGGTTGCCGATTGCAACGACACTACACGTGATATGCGTGCGGGAGATGCACGCGGAAAGGAAACTCGATCGTACAGGGTAACTGACACCGGACTGTATTACTTGAATGATAAATATCGACCCGAGACACTTGATCAGAACAGCATTACCTGCCTCACCAACCGTTTCTTCCCATACAGCCAATCACATGTCTCCGTTATATTGATTGATGTCTATAAATAACCTCAACTTTTGTTCGGACATTTCAAATGTCCCACAGGTTGTATGTAACAATTCCTGGATAATAGAACGTAATGCGTTACCTAATTCAGACTTCCCACAGAGTGCCTCTCAGACAACCCAATTAGCTGACTGGGTGTAAGGACAAGTGATTGTCATGGGGGTGGATATGTCGCCAGTGTTAATCCTAATTGTACAAAAGAATAGACGACTAGTTCCCATGTTTAATTATATATTTCATCATAAAAAGTACACATATATACATCGTGATACTACAAACTTTAAACGTCATCGTATCCCAATTGTGTAGAACAATGCTCATGATGTCGATCACTGGATTGTCTGGTCCAGATTCGACTATTTTCAGACTGCTGCGATATAGCTAATTTTGCTGAGTGCGGCGTTAAACAACAAACCAACTAACTATAAAAAACAAACAAACATCATATTCATGGGCGGATCCAGGAAAGGGGGGGGGGAGTTCAGGGTGTTTGAACCCCCCGAACCCCCTATTGGCTCTGCCAATGCGAAAAAAAGCTTCAGTGTGGTCTTAAGTCATTTTAAAAAAAGGGGGGTCGAACCCCTGACATCACCTCCCAACCCCCCAACCCCCCTGGATCCGCCAATGATATTTGTCATGTCAAGGTGACAGATGGTTGTTATAATGTATTTGTACAAGGAGAACGAACGAATGCTTGCATGCAATCTTGCTTGCACGATTGGAGGGAGGGTTGATATTTTTTCACACTGATAACTGACAAAAGTTTGGCGGAAGCATCTGTACCCGTAGTGGCTCCATTTAGAGATATTATTAACATAATTCGGAAAACGCCACTGTTCTATGTGAAACACTAGGTTATTACGGTGTAACAGTGACAGTTCCAGTGAGATCGCAAAAAATTCAAAAAGTAGGAAGCACGCAATAAATTATTTTTTGTACATAGATGCTCAGTTTTGTACTTGATTCATCGTTACACGCCGCAGTCAGCAATACTCAAGGAATAACACACCTGTACGTAATCGGGTTGGAGCAGACAAATTCGTGATTTACATATATGGGCAGCGGCCAAAGCCGTCGAGGTACGATGACACACAAAGAGCAAGTCACCGCGCTGTCCACCCGATCCACTTTGTTGTCCCCTACGACTAGCGATAGCGTGCTACAACCCTGATCCTCGGGTGATAGTAAACTTGCAATAAACGAATATATATGCTCAGAACACGCTGACGTGGGGTTTATTTATTTCATTTAAGCATAGACTCTTTATTTCCGCGTCCTTTGATTCATCCATTCATCCGTGCAAGCGTGCACTTCCTTGTTAAACTGCACGCACCTTACACGAGAGTACTCCCTTCTAACAGTCATTCATACCACCAGAACACGTTCTATGAAAACAGTGGTATCGTTAGATCATACACAGGCGACTACTGCACATTATAGTATATGGTATGCATGATTAAAAGCAGTCATAATAGTTTTCATTCTCGTCATGCTTTCGTAACTTCTATTAAGTTAACTGACATGTATCGATTCCTTCTGCCTATATTTAGATGTTAGCTATGCACAAACCACCTACGTGGTCTAGTACTCAGAGCGTCTACCTGAAGACTTGAAAGTCAGTGGATCGATCCCGGCTGCGTCATACCAAAAGGTTTGAGAAGAAGGTAGGTAACCCAACCTGTCCTCGTATTTTGCTATGCAGAGTTGCGTCCCTTGGGTCAGAAACCTCTGATCATGGGTCTGACTATTCGCCTATCGCTGTTTGCTTTATCAGCACCATGTCCGTGCAGTGACGTAATCAAAGTGTTAAACATCAAATATCTGCATCTCAGACTTTACTACCCTTGAAGGTCCGGGTTAGAATGAACCTTTAGCAACCCATGCTTGTCGTAAGAGGCGACTAACGGGATCGGGTGGTCAGGCTCGCTGGCTTGGTTGACACATGTCATCGGTTCCCAAATGCGCAGATCGATGCTCATGCTCTTGATCACTGGATTGAATGGTCCAGGCTCGATTATTTACAGACCACCGCCATATAGCTGGAATATTGCTGAGTGCGCCGTAAAACTAAACTCACTCACTCAGACTTTACTCTACTAATTAGTTTCCATCTGTGATGCAACTGGAATTATGTTCAACGTTAATCCAAACTCACTCGTACATAAAGAACGTAACTGCGTATAGGTTTTCCTTTACTTATATTAGATAGGTAGTTTAAGTAGAAACGTATCAATCCCCTTAATATATACTCAACAAAGAAAGTTAAGGACCATCCCAACTTTCAATATTAGAGCATTTAATAGTTCATATCATGATGTATATAATACTTCAATATTGCATATTGGGGTGGTCCACAACAGTTTTGTTGAGTATATATATATATATATATAGTTACTGACACTCGTACTCGTATCATCGACCATCTTCCCGAAGCAAGGGAGATAACTGACCATACAAGTTCCCTTTCCACTGACTATGGTCGGTTGACTCCCTTATCTAGGAGGGGCGATCTTCACACCGCTCGTCCCCCCCCCCCCCCTTTCTGGTTTATGGTAACTATGGTGCAAGTTAAGCATGTTGCGTCGCATGGATAAAGCATTCCACATTTTCCTTATTCTTTTAACAATATTCGGTAATTAGGGACCGGTGCTTACTCTTTGAACTAGCTCCCAAACCCGGTGGTAATTAGAGACCCGGCGCCTAATACTTTAACTACGGTACGTCAATAGCTACAAAGGGACAGACATACAACATAATGATTATTGGGACATTTCGGGGTAGATGCTAACAGCTTTATCAAGCAAGTCATGTTACAATCTATACCGAAACGTCACATCTATTGCACTAAACACCGCCTACGTGGTGTAGTGGTTAGAGCGTCCGCCCGGAGAGCGGAAGGTCGCGGGTTCGATCCCCGACCGCGTCATACCAAAAGATGTTAAAATATGGTACTTGTTGGTCCCTGTCTGGCGCTCGGCATTAATGGGTACAACAAGGACTGGTCGTCTCAGAGTCAGTATAATGTGTCTGAGTGGGGTATTCATGCTTCACTGCGGCATGGTATCTCAGTGGGCTAGCACTATAAAACCAGCTTCAGTCTGGACTAGTACAAGCAGCCGCACATACACATACACACGCATGCACGTCGTCATAAGAGCGAAATATTCTCAAGCACGACGTTAAACCCAATTTCACCTCACCTATTGCACTAAATTTCACCTCACTTTATTCTCAATAGACCACCAATGGTGGTATAAGAGTACATATCACACACATCAATTATTTCATACAGTCAAAATGGCGGCGGAGTATAACAATATATTACAGAAAATCAGTTGTTGGTATAACATGTCTATTATCTAACTTTTGTTATAGTAGAAAAGATAACATTTACGAACTTTGCTAGGTTTTTAAAAACAGTATGATGTAAAGTAGTAACCAGATTCTATAAGATACAATGTTTGAGTGTTTGAGCAATTTGGTTGGTATAAATTTTCTTCTAGAAGTAACTGTTGACCATCCATAAAAAAACAACTGTTCCTCTTCATCATACCAGCTTCTAAATACCACTAATAGAAGAAACATAATAGTTCTTGATACGGAATGTATTTCAAGACAAATAGCGAATTAAATGCTAAAGATCTTATACCGAAACACAATGAAATCACAACAAACAATTGTAACTCAAAAAGAGATAAGATGTGGTTTTGTGCTCAAGTACATCTCCCAACACATCGAATTGAGATTGGAACACATAGTACGACATTGTGAGTGAGTGAGTTTAGTTTTACGCCGCACTGAGCAATATTCCAGCTGTATGGCGGCGGTCTGTAAATAATCAAATCTGGACCAGACAATCCAGTGATCAACAGCATGAGCATCGATCTGCGCAATTGGGATGCGATGACATGTGTCAACCAAGTCAGCGAGCCTGACCACCCGATCCCGTTAGTCGCTTCTTACGACAAGCATGGGTTACTGAAGGTCAATACTAACCCGGATCTTCACGGGTCGACAGTGTGTGAAGATTATGCCAAAACACTTAGAACAGCTGAATATAATTTATATTGCCATGCTAATCGAATAATAAGAAGGAGTCGGGGCTTCATTAACGTATTTTGAATTGTAGCATTTGCATATTTATCATCATGAAAGAGATTCGCTGGATATTCGAAGATTAAATATGATCTACATATGTTTTTCCGCAATTTTCCTGTGAAAATATGTCAATATGCTATTGGCGTCATCACCACAAACGAAATATACTGGATAAAAATAGTTAGGGATATATGTAAATTTTGAAATTATGAATAATTATCTATTTATTCATTGACACACTGTTATCAGTAATTATCATTTTATGTTACTGTCTCGTGTCAAAATGTCAGTGGATGTGTTAATGTACATTTCGTGTGATAAACACCAGTACCTGTTTCATTGAATGGATTTTCCCACCAGGGGTCTCTGTTCAATCAATTAATAGACCAATTCCATCAGAGCACAGTTTGGAGAATCAAATACGTCTCCTGGCCGAAATATCAGAACAAATAATTTTTCAGCTGTTTTCGTTGTAACAGATTACTTTTCAGTTCTTTTAACTGAAATATTGGGAGTAAATATAATCTTGCAAAATTTCCATCTACAAATTATTTGCTGTTTTAGCGATTAATGCATAGTTTGATAGCTCATTAGATTTTATCCCTCAACGTGGAAAAATATTGGTTCGAATACCGGATGGTACTGAACCCCTAAGTACTAGAATCTGAACTTTACTACGAAAGCGTAATCCCCAGTGTAACGCATGCTATAAAAGGCTGAGACTCATATATAAGTCCACGTTTTAGAATAATATATATTTGATATCCATCTTACCGTTTCTTGTTGCCATGGTTACAAAATCAAATTAAAGTCTCTCACGTGCATTATTCCTGTCCCACGGGAATAGTTATAATCTTCATTTACCCCTCGTGTTAATTTGTTTTAAGTACCATTAAACACAATACATGTTTCATCCAACTGTATTAACGTTCTCAATAAAACATATTTAATCCTGCTATTCATCTCGATGGACTTAACACCCGCGGTGTCAATGAACAATAGACTATCTCGGCGGGCTGTTAGTTTTTCTAACTGTTTCTTTAATTTCTTTGTCGTTAGATTAACTCGTCACGGAAAAGGATGACACGGGTGTCAGCTCAATTTTTAAAGACGATTTTATGACACGTTGATGCAGAAAAGAGGATTAAGCAAAGATGTGACTTGACACAGAGGACTGGTGCTTTTGTCTTGCACACTGATAGAGTATGAACGTGGTTTGAGGTCGTCTTGTTGGCATTATCGCCAATTTGCTTTAAAAGTTCGTTTATCACTGTCACAGAAACCCCACGGCGGCGTGGAATCGCTGTACTTCAGTGGATAACAATCACTAATACATCTACGAGTCTAAACACAGGAAAAATCACCGCACAGCTCGCAAGCTACTGCATGCATATATTTGTTAATTGTAACACCATGGGAAATTAAATCTTTGTTAAAAGGAGTCGTCAAAACAAACTATATATATAATCAACAAAGTGGGCACGTTTTTCAAGTGTACAAATTTTACGCGCAGAACGTGCACCTGTGGTATCCTTTGCCGTAACTATTTGTAGACCAAAAGTGGTTGTATTAACAACAAAAATGTAGAAACAGCCGGAATGAGTTTGTAATGTGTCCACGACCACACTTTCAGGAGAGTTTTATAGAATTTGCCCAAAAATATGAATTGGGATGAAGGTTTGAAAGAATATCTGTTCCTGAAGTGTAATTCGTTGTTCTTCTCTACGTTGAAATTTACATGTAGAGAGTAAACACTTTAACCATTTGTCATGTGCGCCCGAAGGAGTTGGTATTGAGAGAAACTTTCCTTGTTCACATATATAACCTCTCTTCAAAGTCTAATGTTGAAGTGTTGAAGCACAGTGGGTAAAGCGTTCGGTTGTTTTGATGAAGGCCCGGTTCGATTACCACATGGGTACAAAACAGGAACCCTTCTTCTGGTGTCCCAGCTGTGATGTGTCTGGAACACTGCTTAAAGCTGCCACTCAATTATTGATACCCGTGTATGAGGGTAAGCGTACAGTAGAACATCCCAGAACAGATTCCCAGACCGACCATGCCCCCAAATGTGGGGGTACAGAGAGGCGTCCAGAGAGGGTCCAGAGAGAGGTCCAGAGAGGGGTCCAGAGAGGGGTCCAGAGAGGGGTCCAGAGAGGGGTCCAGAGAGGGGTCCAGAGAGGAGTCCAGAGAGGGGTCCAGAGAGGGGTCCAGAGAGGGGTCCAGAGAGGGGTCCAGAGAGGGGGAGAGGGGTCCAGAGAGAGGGGTCCAGAGAGGGGTCAGAGAGAGAGAGGGGAGAGAGGGAGAGGGGGTCCAGAGAGGGGGTCCAGAGAGGGGTCCAGAGAGGGGTCCAGAGAGGGGTCAGAGAGAGGGAGAGGGTCAGAGAGGGGTCCAGAGAGGGAGAGGGGTCCAGAGAGGGGTCCAGAGAGGGGTCCAGAGAGGGGAGGGGACAGAGAGGGGTCCAGAGAGGGGTCCAGAGAGGGGGGTCCAGAGAGGGGTCCAGAGAGGGGTCCAGAGAGGGGTCCAGAGAGGAGACCAGAGAGGGAGTCCAGAGAGGGGGTCCAGAGAGGGGGTCCAGAGAGGGGTCCAGAGAGGGGTCCAGAGAGGGGGGGTCAGAGAGGGGGGACCAGAGAGAGGGGTCCAGAGAGGAGAGCCCAGAGAGGGGTCCAGAGGGGTCCAGAGAGGGGGGTCCAGAGAGGGGTCCAGAGGGGACCAGAGAGGGGTCCAGAGGGGGGTCCAGAGAGGGGAACAGAGAGGGGTCCAGAGAGAGGGGACCAGAGAGGGGTCCAGAGAGGGGATCCAGAGAGGGGACCAGAGAGGGGTCCAGAGAGGAGTCCAGAGAGGGTCCAGAGAGGGGTCCAGAGAGGGGTCCAGAGAGGGGTCCAGAGAGGGGACCAGAGAGGGGTCCAGAGAGGGGTACCAGAGAGGGGTCCAGAGAGGGGACCAGAGAGGGGTCCAGAGAGGGGTCCAGAGAGGGGGGTCCAGAGAGGGGTCTCAGAGAGAGGGTCAGAGAGGGGTCCAGTCCAGAGAGGGGTCCAGAGAGGGGTCCAGAGAGGGGTCCAGAGAGGGGACCAGAGAGGGGTCCAGAGGGGGTCCAGAGAGGGGTCCAGAGAGGGGTCCAGAGAGGGGGGTCCAGAGAGGGGTCCAGAGGGGTCAGAGAGGGGTCCAGAGAGGGGACCAGAGAGGGGTCCAGAGAGGGGACCAGAGAGGGGTCCAGAGAGGGGTCCAGAGAGGGGTCCAGAGAGGGGTCCAGAGAGGGGACCAGAGAGGGGACCAGAGAGGGGTCCAGAGAGGGGACCAGAGAGGGGTCCAGAGAGGGGTCCAGAGAGGGGACCAGAGAGGGGTCCAGAGAGGGGAGAGGGGACCAGAGAGGGAGGTCCAGAGAGGGGACCAGAGAGGGGGACCAGAGAGGGGGACCAGAGAGGGACCAGAGAGGGGTCCAGAGAGGGGACCAGAGAGGGGACCAGAGAGGGGTCCAGAGAGGGGACCAGAGAGGGGTCCAGAGAGGGGACCAGAGAGGGGTCCAGAGAGGGGTCCAGAGAGGAGTCCAGAGAGGAGTCCAGAAAAGGTTACAGAGAGAGTTAATCATAGACTACCAGTCCTCGTTTGAAGTTGAATAATTTAACCATTTAACCAGGTGAGTATACAACCCATCGTGGCTACTATAGTGTTGCCCTCCTTCAGGGGAAACCTCTGCTGCTGTCGGTTCTACTCGCCAACCCACTGTAGTATATGGACATGTTTGTCATATTTCATACCGCGGTATCAGTACGTCAGTCACGTACATCCTATCTGGTGATTGTGTTTCTCGAGAGGTAAATACACATACATGCAAGCCATACTCGGGACGGGCGGTGTCAGTGTGTACATTACCTATTTGCGAATCGCGGCTTGAAGATTATCACAAATCCTTTCATATATATGCACTTCATAACACCGCATGCGTTAAACCTGCACGACCGAGAAATGTGTCCAACAAACACAGTGGGAAGGAATCACCGAAACTAAGCTGATAACGTTTGATGCCGCTGCGAATATCTCGAGATCAACTCTCGACCACGGGATCTCGCGTGGTGTTGATCGATTTACAGGTGACATGGAGATCTATGGGTCGGTGGTAGCCTAGTGGTTAAAGTGTTCGCTCGGCATGCCGAAGACGCAGTTGGATTCCCCACGTGGGTACGATGTGTGAAGCCCATTTCTGTGTCCCCTGCCATGATATTGCTGGAATATTGCTTCTCTCCCCCCTCCACCCCCACCCCCGAAAAAAACAAAACAAAACAAAACAAAAACCAACAGGAAAAGAAAACAAACAAAAAAAGAAAAACAAAAACAAAAAAAGCCAAACAACAACAAAGTAAAAACAACAAGAATCTCACTCTCAGGCAGAAATGTATTTTATTAAAGTCTCACCTTATGTACAACAAAAATACTCTTTCACAGACACCAATTTACGAATCGTTCTTTATGGGAGACAAACTGTTTACATTATCAGCCATTGAGATAAAACACGTTTCGGTGTACATCTAACGTATGATACAGGATTTAGGCAGCTACACGTATATCATTGGTTCACTTTATAAAACAGAACAATTGCGTAGATCGCTGCTCATGCTGTTGATCACTGGATTGTCTGGTCCAGACTCGATTATTTACAGACCGCCGCCATACAGCTGGAATAGTGCTGAGTGTGGTGTTAAAACAACAAATCAACAACGATGCTTTGAAGGAGCAAAGAGTATATTATACGATCGCATCAAACAGTTACTGTGTTACTGTCGCATCAAACACAGGGGAAAAAGCGACCGCACGTCGAACGTAATTGAGTTGTGTACTGAAATCATTCGGTGACATGAGAGACACTGAATATTGAATGTAATATTATGAATATTATATCATTAAATAATTTGAGGCATGCATGCAAATAGTTTCGATTTACAATAGTTACGATTTACCAATTGCAGACGTGTCTACCCCTAAACGCAATGCTTTGATGGTTCAAAGGGTATATTATACGATCGCTTCCAACATTTTCTGTGCCATAACACAGAAAAAACAGAAGATGTTGTATCAAATCTTTTTACAGAATAGTTATTGGTTATCAGGCAGACATATTATATTTCAGTATATTATCACCAGCTCATGATACATATTATATTGCCAAACAGTTTGAGGTCCACATACAAATGGTGACGATTTACAAAACAAGGTATACTTACATATTTCTACATTTTGAAATAATTGTTAAAAAGTACTAGTTGATGAAGAATGTAGTAATGTGTTGCTTGTAACTAGTAAATGAAACTCACTGTCAGTTGATACATAGATAACATGACATCCTCTAATTGTCAAGAAGATGAATATTAAACTGTCGGATGAAACGCTTAGACCTTATTGGTTACCATATAAGCTGTTAGTGTTCCAGATTTGCAGTTTGTCTCAGATGTTTCCACAACTCTGCCTCAGGGTAATCATCAACATGAATTATGAATTCCTCTTCAACCACGTTTAACAGACACAGAGGCAGGTCCTGTACCTGGACTTCACCCATCAGTAGGATCAGTATCCGGTTCTGAATGAGAGCATTCGCAGAGTATATTGCTGCTTTGGTGGTAAAATGTGACCACGCAGAGTCATCTTCGAGGAAGTCAGATGATACAAGAAGAACGGTCTTCCAACTTTTATGGACACCTTCTATAATTCCGTCAGCAATGTCATGACCCGGAAGTACTTCCCGATCTTTTAGGAAGAGACGCACAGGGTGTTTACACAGCTCTAATGCAGGCCGAAGTCTCCGATAGACAAATGCAATGTCAGCTTCACAATATCCGATGTAGAGCTTGAAAGAAAAATCTTTTTGAGTTAGATACTTGCCGCCAAACCCTAGTGTCATCATGAGAATGTTTCTGCATCTGGTTGGGTTCTTGGAAATTAGATATATTGTTATGGTCGATGTCAAAAAGACAACCAAACATGTGAATGTGAGGGTGAGGATCCATTTGCCAGTACAATAACGGTAGATGCGCATGTATTCAACAGCAACCTCAGCAGTTCCTGTCATTTGTCCATTGTCCTGAATACAAGCGAAATTCCTGTCAGACTCATAGACTACTGGTGTGTCCATCAGCCACAGTATAAAGTCCAGAGTGTCACAGCCACAGGAAAAGATGTTGCCATCAAATGCGACTTTCAGACTGTTCCTTGCAGCCGAGGTATCCAAGTCAGATCGTGTAAACCTGTCCAAGTGTCCTATCATATTAAATGACATGTTCAGAAGAATAAGGCTTGGGAAATTCTCTGTCACAATGGGAATTGTGTCAAATTTGTTTTGCGAAAGAATGAGATGAATGATTCTATTTTGATTTAGGATGAATGGAAATAGCTGAAGGTTATTTAATGAAAGATCCAAATATTCCATCAGTTTGAGGGCACCGAACATATTCCGAGCTTTTAGCACGTCGTTGGCAAATTGTAAGTTGCAATCTTTCAAAGATAATGATTTGACGTTTGAAAATGACTTAAAAAAGTCGTCACTAACACTGCCAAGTTTGTTTCCAGATAAGTCAACATGACTGACATTTTCCAACCCTTTCACGCGAACAATATTATGTTGTTGGTTGTATCCAAAACGCACCGTGTGAAGATTTTCGGTGTTTCTAAACGTGACTTCATCATATGTATTTGTTGACATGAAAGTGTCTGTTGCGTCGTAATATTGAAGGTTTGGGGGAAGCATCAGGGTAATGTTAGCCTTTTTTATCCCTTCTGACTGTCCCCATATGTTTACGGTTTCATCGGCTACATGGTGTTGATGGCTTACGTCGAGATGTCTCAGTTTTGAGAACAGTGCAGCTAAAAACACCAATCTTCCATCTCCAATGATACAGTTTTGTGAGAGAATGACCACTTCCATACATTCACGAATTGGCGACTTGTTGATAGAACCTGCTTCAATTAAACTTATCCGGTTACCCTTTAAGGACAACTCTGAAACACAAATCTGAGCCAAAAAACGTGTGCTATATTCTGTAATCATGCGATCTTCCAGATCTTCCTTGACGTGAACCCCTTGGCGTTTAAATGTGTTGTTCAACCATATTCTTGTCATGCTCCTTCCAACAAAGGGATAAAGAAGACGTAAAACCTTATGGATACCGATTCCGTTGTTTGTTAGTTCCAGATGTCTTAGGTGGGACAAAGGCTCAAGAACACCAGCCTGACAAGAGGTTAAATGATGACAATGATTTAGAAGTAGTACTTCAAGTTTTGTTCCATTTAAACCTCGAAATGTTTCGTTTTTTAATGTTTCTAAAGAACAGTGGCCATTGTCCATGTTGAGAACTTTAAGATTTGTCAGTTTGGAGAATTCAGGTCCAAATACAGCATCTGGAACTGGGTCTATGTACAGGTTGTGGAGCTCGGTGAGGGGAGCTAACACCAAATCTGGATATTCATACATCTTGTTATTCTGTAGATTGAGCGTATGCAAGTTGCCGAGGTCACGGAAAAGTCCTTCAGGTAAAGAATCACTTTGATGTGAGAGTTTGTTGCTAGCAAGAAGGAGTTTGGTCAGGCTGAGTACACCAACGAAGGCATCAGGCTCCATCGTGGTAAGCGAATTATTGTTCAGGTTTATGTACTTAAGACAGCTAAAGTGTTGAAAAGTCCTGTTTCTCACAGCAGTTATCCGATTCTCACTGATGTCAAGAAAGGTCATGTTCATTGGGAGGTCATCGGGAACATGCTGGAGTTGTCTCCCTCTACAGTCAACAAACAGTCCGTCATGTTGATCACGGAAGGTACAGATGTGAGCGTTGACTATGGAGATCCTCACTGCAACCATCATAAGAATTCCAATCAGAGCTTCCATAATGACTGTAAAAGAAGAAAAGATGTCATTGATAACGATAGCACTTAGGCTCAGTATCAATGATGTGTCCATAATTTGATAATACAAGGAAGAGTGAACCAATAAATCATAATCATACATATCGGAATATTGTGTCTGTGCCAAGGTATTGTTGCTCACCACTTATATCTAAAGTGTAGTAGTAAACATACCAAAATATAAGGTTTAATACCAAATGTTAAGGTAAATTTGAAGTAACGAAATTGTGTTTTTTAATATCGTTATTGCAGCTAAAGGCTGCATATACAGCCAGGTCACTCCATCTTTGTTTCTATACTGTTTACCATGTCACGCATCGTATCAATGCAAGCCCGAACTGCTGTAGAGGTGAACTATTGTTTGGTAGCGATTCTCGGCAACCTTTCAGGATACTGAAGGACAACTGACGAACATGCTGGCTTGATGTAACAGCTTACTGAAATCAGCGCAAGAACATATCTAATTCTAGGATGACTATTCAGAGAAAACTATATTGTGATGATTCTCCTAGAAAATACGAATTTAAGATGTCGACAAGAAACATAATAGACTGACGTGTTGCAGAGGCAGGCTAAATTAATACCTGTTAGCATGAAAGTGTTTGTTGCACCAAAATATTGAAGGTTTGGGGGCACCATGAGGGTGATGTTCCCCTTTTTTCTCCCTTCTGCCTGTTCCCATTTGCTTTCAGTTCCATCGGCTAGATGGTGTTGATGGCTTAAGTCGAGGTATCTCAGTTTTGAGAACACTGTAACAAATAACACGAAACTGACATCTCCAATGAGACGGTTTTGTGAGAGATCGCCCACTTCCATACATTCACGAATGGGGGACTTATTGAGAGATCCTGCTTCAATTAAAATTGTGCGGTTACCCTTTAAGGACAACTCTGAAACACAAATCTGAGCCAAAAAGCGTGTGCTATGTTTTGTAATCATGCGATCTTCCAGATCTTCCTTGACGCGAACCCCTTGGCGTTTGAATGTGTTGTTCAACCAAATTCTTGTCATGTTCCTTCCAACAAAGGAATAAAGAAGGCGTAAAACTTATGGATACCGATTCTATTGTTGGTTAATTCCAGATGTTTTAGGAAGGACACCATTATAGACTGACGTGGTGCAAAGGCATGCTTAATAAATACGTGGACTGTAAGGAGGTTATTGGAAAACATCACACAGTATATTTTGATAAAAATGGGAGAAGAATGGGGTCCCACAGGTTTTGCGAAAAAAACCCACGACTGTCCTAAAGTTGATGATAGTTATTACAGGCCAATTTCCCACCAATTCCCCAAGACAATCCCCAGGAGACTGTAAGGTGCAAAGTATTCTTCCAGGTAAGAGTATAGAATAAAAGAGTCTAAAAGTATTCTTATAGGCATAAGAGTCTAAAATACAAAAAATAAATATAAAATACAAGAAACAAAAATAAAAACAAACCAAAACCAAACAAATGAATAATTTTAAAAAATAAATAAAAATAAAAACCAACAAAAAACCCACACCCAAACCAACAAAACAAACAACAACTGCAGCAACAGAAAAAAAATGTCTGTTTTCATGTGTATGAGTACCATATCTTAATCCAAATTGTCATAATGGATCTTAATGGATCCAGTTGTAATGCTACTAAGGACCCTACCAATCAACTATATGAAATTTGCATTTTTGGAGAATTGTAACTCATTTTTACGATTTCAGATTTTTCGCTATATTAAACAGATGATTTATTTCACATTATTTCCGGCCAAGAAGAAGGTTCTTAAAAATGTTCAATGTTTGAGTTTATTCTGATTTAAATAGTTTATTCGTTGGCATGTAGAAATCTAATGCGACACAGATATTTGATGGTTTATGTCGGTGAGTTAGATGAGTAAAATTAAAGCATGATTTCAGCACGTAACTACGGCACAGGTTACATGAATGTCAGTGTGCCGACAGTGTATGTGTTAAACTATAGCTGGACATTGCTCACAGGATTTGGGTCCGACAATTCGTCACTTCCGTAAGTCCGTTTGATCAGTTTCTGTGTTATTGTGTAACACCGCATTTGTTGGTATTCCAGCTGTATGATGCCGGTGCGTATGAGTTTCGACCAGACAATCCAGTGGTGGATAAAGTTTGTTGCAATATTTCAGATATATATTCATGCCAATAATGGTTGTCACCCCTTCATTTTTCTATTGGAGAGGGCGTGTGTGTGGGGTGTGTGGGGGGTGTGTGTGTGGGGTGGGTCGGGGAGGGGGGTGACAACCATTATTGGCATGTGTATATGAACTATCTCACTGACCGCGGCGGGTGGCTTGGTTGTGTTTTCTGGCAGACTCATCCACTACTGTCAGTATATCCATGTAACTATAATGACGCAAACAGTAAGTGATATATTCTTATAGAACCCATGATCGCATCCACACTATAATAAACTTCGATCCCTCAGATACAAACCTACGACCCATGAACGTATCAACACTATAATAAACTTCGATCCCTTAAATACAAATATACGACCCATGAACGTATCAACACTATAATAAACTTCGATCCCTCAAATACAGGCACACGACCCATGAACGTATGAACATTATAATAAACTTCGATCCCTCAGATACAAGCATACGACCCATGAACGTATCAACACTATAATAAACTTCGATCCCTCAAATACAGGTATACGACCCATGAACGTATCAACACTATAATAAACTTCGATTACTCAAATACAAGTATACGATCCATGTACGTATGAACATTATAATAAACTTCGATCCCTCAAATACAAGTATACGATCCATGAACGTATGAACATTATAATAAACTTCGATCCCTCAGATACAAATATACGACCCATGAACGTAACAACACTATAATAAACTTCGATCCCTCAAATACAAGCATACGACCCATGAACGTATGAACATTATAATAAACTTCGATCACTCAGATACAAATAAATGACCCATGAACGTATCAACACTATAATAAACATGGATCCCTCAAATACAAGAATACGACCCATGAACGTATAAACATTATAATAAACTTCGATCCCTCAGATACAAGCATACGACCCATGAACGTATGAACATTATAATAAACTTCGATCCCTTAAATACAAGCATACGACCCATGAACGTATCAACACTATGATAAACTTCGATCCCTCATATACAAGCATACGACCCATGAACGTATCAACACTATAATAAACTTCGATCCCTTAAATACAAATATACGACCCATGAACGTATCAACACTATAATAAACTTCGATCCCTCAAATACAGGCACACGACCCATGAACGTATGAACATTATAATAAACTTCGATCCCTCAGATACAAGCATACGACCCATGAACGTATCAACACTATAATAAACTTCGATCCCTCAAATACAGGTATACGACCCATGAACGTATCAACACTATAATAAACTTCGATTACTCAAATACAAGTATACGATCCATGTACGTATGAACATTATAATAAACTTCGATCCCTCAAATACAAGTATACGATCCATGAACGTATGAACATTATAATTAACTTCGATCCCTCAGATACAAATATACGACCCATGAACGTAACAACACTATAATAAACTTCGATCCCTCAAATACAAGCATACGACCCATGAACGTATGAACATTATAATAAACTTCGATCACTCAGATACAAATAAATGACCCATGAACGTATCAACACTATAATAAACTTCGATCCCTCAAATACAAGAATACGACCCATGAACGTATAGACATTATAATAAACTTCGATCCCTCAGATACAAGCATACGACCCATGAACGTATGAACATTATAATAAACTTCGATCCCTTAAATACAAGCATACGACCCATGAACGTATCAACACTATGATAAACTTCGATCCCTCATATACAAGCATACGACCCATGAACGTATCAACACTATAATAAACTTCGATCCCTCAAATACAAGTATACGACCCATGAACGTATCAACATTATAATAAACTTCGATCCCCCAAATACAAGTATACGGTGCATGAACGTATCAACACTATAATAAACTTCGATCCCTCAGATACACATATACGATCCATGAACGTATCAACACTATAATAAACTTCGATCCCTCGAATACAAGTATACGACCCATGAACGTATGAACATTATAATAAACTTCGATCCCTCAGATACAAATATACGACCCATGAACGTATCAACACTATAATAAACTTCGATCCCTCAAATACAAGTATACGACCCAGGAACGTATCAACATTATAATAATCTTCGATTCCCCAAATACAGGTATACGGCCCATGAACGTATCAGCACTATAATAAACTTCGATCCCTCAGATAGAAATATACGACCCATGAACGTATCCACACTATAATAAACTTCGATCCCTCAAATACAGGTATACGACCCATGAACGTATCAACACTACAATATACTTCGATTCCTCAGATACAAGTATACGACCTATGAAAGTGTGAAAACTATAATAAACTTCGATCCCTTAAATAGAAGTATACGACCCATGAACGTATCATATTATAATAAACTTCGATCCCCTTAATACAAGTATACGACCCATGAACGTATCAACACTATAATAAACGTCGATCCCTCAAATACAAGTATACGACCCATGAACGTATGAAACTATAATAAACGTCGATTCCCCAAATACAAGTATACGACCGATGAACGTATCAGCACTATAATAAACTTCGATCCCTCAAATACAATTATACGACCCATGAACGTATCAGCACTATAATAAACTTCGATCCCTCAGATACAAATATACAACCAATGAACGTATCAACCCTATAATAAACTTCGATCCTCCCTATACAAATATACGACCCATGAACGTATCTGCACTATATTAAACTTCCATCGGCCAAATACAAGCACACGACCCAAGAACGTATCAACAGTACAATAAACTTCGATCCCTTAAATACAAGTACGTGTATACGACCCATGAACGTAT